AGAAAGACCTAGAGCAAAACCATGCAGAATATTTGAACATAAAGGGATAAAAAAGAATTTATCAGACAAATGTGAATTAAAAGAAAGCTGCTGTCTCAAAATTAATATTAGAAAAGATAAAATTTAAGGCAAAAATCATATATAATAGTAAATAGAGCTACTATATATTAATCAAAACTAATCCACCAAGAATATGAAAAAATTATATATTTGGCACTATTCTGGTTACTGGGGAAGAAAAGTGAACACAGAGCCAAAAATTCTGGTCCTCATGGACAGAGCACAGGCAAATTTGAAAAATATACAGTCATAGTGGGAGATTTTTATCACACCTCTTTGAAGCTGAGGGGAAAAAATTTAGAAGGATTTAGAATGTTTAAATAAGAAAGCTAGTGAGCCTGATCTAAAATATATTTAAAATTATATATGCCAATTTTAAAGATGTATATTCTTTTCAAGTGCCCATAGAGCTAAAAACTAAATAACTAGGAATAAATTTAACAAAAGTACTTAAGGATCTTATTGAGAAAAATATAAACTACTATTGAAGAAGGTTTTAAAAATCTGACTAAATGGAAAGATATAAAATTACCATGTATGTGGTTACTTAATGTGAAAAATATCACTTAATCTATACATTTAATTCAGCTTCGATTTAAAACCTAATAGGAACTTTCCTGGACAAACTGATCACTAAAATGTTCGTTGAAGAGCATAAAGTCAAGTATAATTAAGGCAGTTTTGAAGAGAAGTGTATTAGAGTTCTCCAGAGAAACAGAACCAATAGGATGTATTCATAGGAAGAGATTTGTTATAAGGAATTGGGTTATGCAATTATGGAGGCTGAGAAATCCCATGATCTGCCATGTTCAAGCTGGAGACTCAGGAAAGCTTGTGGTTCAGTTTCAGTACAAGTTCAAAGGTCTGAGAATTAGGGGAATTGATGGTATAAATTCCAATCCAGAGGGGATGAGACTCATATTTTAGTTCAAACAGGCAGACAGGAAGTGAAAGGGGCAAATTTCTTTTTCCTCTATCTTTTGTTCTATTCAGGCCCTTAGCAGATTGGATGGTGCCTACTCACCCTGGCGAGGTGAACTACTTTAGTAAATCCATCGATTCAGATCCTTATCTCATTGTGAAACACTCTCCCAGATACAGCAGAAATAGTGTTTAATCTGGTCACCTCTTGGCCCAGTCAAGTTGACACATAAAATTAACCACTGTAGAGAGGCACATGGTAACAATGCTTCCCTACAAGACACCACGGCTAATTATAAACTAGAGCAATTAAAATAGTGTGTGGGAAATGTGACATTATTTCAGAGAGTAAATTGAATGATGGAAAAGAATAGAGAATCCTGAAATGAACCATTAAAATACAAACTATGACAAATGACAGAGATGACATTGTAAATCAAGGGGAAAAGACTGGAGCAGTTAATAAATGGTACTGGGACTAAGCTTATCTCTGCGGATAAAAAAATAACATCAAGTTTTATCCCATAGACACAAGGATATGACTCAGGAAGATGAAAAATAGAAATGTGAAAGCCAGAATTTTAAAACTTTTAAAAGAAAATGTATGTTATTTTTACGACCCTGTGGAAAGAGGGAAATTTATATAGACTGGACACAGTAAGCACAAACCATAAAGAATAATATTCACAAATTTGATTGCATTAGTGCTATAAAAATATCTGTATAGCTATAAATAAAAGTCACACATTAGAGAGACTTGAATGATTTATATCAGAATATATAAAGTAAAAAAAAAAAGAGAGACCAGTAACTCAGGAGGAAAAAAAGTACATAAAAAAGCAATTCATGGACAAAGAAAGCTAGATGGTCAAACACTATAAGCAAAGACACTTTAGCTTTGTTGGTAATTAGATAAATGAAAATAAAACAACAACGGAATAGAATTCCCATCAGATTAGTATAAAGTAACAAGTCTTAAAATATCAACTATTGTCAAGATAGTGGAGGAGTAGGCTACTGGTGTGTGTCTAAATTGGTTTAATCCCCTTACAGTGCTCCTTTTTACTATAGCCAAGTAATTTCATGTCTAGGTTTATACCCTAGAGAAACTCTTCCACATGTGCTCAAGCACACACATTTTTGCAGTATTTAATTTTTTATTTTGGTTATTCAGAAGTTAAAATGAATTGAATGGAGCTATATATATTAACCCAGACAAATCTCAGAAGTTAAATAGAATAAAGCAAGCTTTGGAATATGACATATGTTTAGTTGACTCTTGAACAACATAGACTGCCAATCCTCTGAACAGTGAAAAATCTGCATATAACTTGTAGTGTGTGCTAAGTCACTTAAGTCGTGTCTGACTCTTTGAGACCCTATGGGCCATAGCCCACCAGGCTCCTCTGTCCGTGGAATTCTCTAGGCAAGAATACTGGAGTGGGTTGTCATGCCCTCCTCCAGGGGATCTTCCTGACCCAGGGATCGAAACTGAGTCTGTTATGTCTGCCTGCATTGGTTGGTGTGTTCTTTACCACGAGCACCACCTGGGAAGCCCCATATAACTGACCCTCTGTATCCAAGGTGACTCCATATCTGTGGTTTCACACCCCTTGATTTAACCAACAGAAGATTGTGTAGTACCACAGTGTTTACTATTGACAAAAATCCACATAAAAGTGGACCTGTGCAGCTCAAACTCCAGTTGTTCCAGGGTCAGTTGTGTGTGTATATCTGTCTATCTGCCTACCTATCTACCTATATGTCTATTGAGAGAGTGGTATCATTTATGCAGAATTTAAAATGTATTAAATATTTCCATATTGTTATATGAGCAATGAGCAAAACTATAAAATGCAGAGAAGTGATTTAAGGCAAATTCAATATGGTGGTAAGTTCTTGGGAAAAAGGAAAGGAGTTAGGTTTTGGGAGGATCACACAGGATGATTCAACCACCTAGTGAAATTGTTGGTTGTTGTTTGATTTACTTTGTTCTGATTTGCTTTGTTTTAATATTGAAAATAAATATGGCCAAACATGAAAACTGAAAAGTTAGTTGGTACATAAGCATTTATTGTTTTAAGTTTTTCTGTGTTTTTAAGACATTTCACAATAAAAGTATATTGTAAATTTATTTTAATATTGACCTAAAATAACATGGAGAACAAGGCAAATTTTCAAGCTAGTTTCTAAAATTAAATTCAAGAGACTGGCTGACTTAAGAGTTCAAGTGAAAATGTCTCATGGCACTTAGTTAACTGTAACTCTTTAGAGATCAAAAGTAAAATAAATGTAGTCAACTCATTGCATATATATTTGGGGAGAAAAAGAATTCAGTTGTCCAAATTGGATGGACGAATGGCAGGGAGTAGCATCCTTTTTCTTGGAAAGTTTTCAAACAGAATCAGTGACCACAGTCAGTTTGGTAGTGATGGAGGTGGTATTTTGGGTGTAAGAGTCAGTGAGATAAGTACTAAGGTCTCTTTGGACAATTGTTGCTAAATATGATCATTTTTTTTTCCTTTGTCAATTAGACAGGGACTTCTTACAGGATTTTAAGGTCGTCTCTTTTCACATGAATAGTCATTATCCCGTGACCATGCACACATTTTTACATTCTTATTTTAGGTGGTCTCAACTTTGGATCAGGCTTTGTAGTAGCTAAAATTATTCTCTTTTATGAGCAAATTCTTTGTTAGAAATGTCAGATGAAGTCATCACTGTTCAGTAGCAGTTAATAACCACTTACTTAGTGCTAGTTTCTAGGCTTTGTTTGTCATTTCCTTAGATTAGAAAGAATTTTTAAAAGTCTAACAAATTCAGATTTTATCCATGTACACTATTCTCCAATTATTGAAATCAAGTTATTAAATAGTATTAAAAATCAACTGTATCAATATTGTTTCACTGTTTTAGAGGTAGAAGTACAATATCTAACATTGAAGCTAACCTGCAATTTATTTTCCTATTTGTCTTAGAAGTAGAGAAACCGACCTTGGCCTCTGTCTCTGGAGATTACTTGAAAGAAACAGAGGTATGGTCTGCTAAGGTCACCCTAAAAACCGATTAAAAATTTATTAAAGACTTGAGTTAGTAGTAGGCAGATGGAAAATATAAGTATCCAAATAGAAAATAGATGTGGTGGTGCAGCAGGAAACATAGGTGTATAGCCATGAAAAATCAATGGAACTAACTCAGAAAGGTAATATATCTCTCTTAAAGAATATTGTCATGTTTTCTGAGCCTGCAACTATAGCCTACATTAAACTTTTTATCTGATGAGTTAAAAGTTCCTTGCACTTTCTTATCTAGTAACAAATTAAGAGTGTTTTCTTCAGTGATTGAGTGGTGGGGATAGAGAAATTTTCTCTGGAAACAAAATAATCTATTGAAGCCCTCTGCAATTATTCTGATAGGATCTTTGCTGCAGCAAAAACAAGAAACTATATAATTGGTTTCTAGTTTTTATGAGCAAGAATATAGTGGTGTGACCCAGTTGGTCACTTCCTGAATCCTGAAGGAATGTCTGTTCCACAGCCCATGTCTCCAGATCACAGATGCATAATTAGTCCTGTATTAGCTGCCTGTTTGAATCAAAATACATATAAAGTGATGGTAAAGAAAGGTGGGGAGGATGTCATGTTTATAGAAGAGTGACTGCTAAATAAGAAAGAGAAATAATTTTTGGAATGTCTGAAAATTTTGTTCTTCTACTCAGAAAGTCCCAGAAAAGATCTAGTTACCTTGCTTGAAGGTGTTTGTGGGCATTTTTCAAGCCAGAGACTGAGAACAGTGTTTCTACTCCAAACAATTTTAGAATTTGTGTCTAAATGAGCAACTGAAACCTTCAGGAATGGGTGGTCCCTCAAGCTGCCTGGACTGTTTGCATAGTGTTTGTGTCTGTCAATTCTTGCTACTTGCCTTCGCTGTGATGACACCTATTCAGAGAGCTCTTACAGTAAGGACTTTTTCTGAGTGAGTTAAACATTTATAAAGTGTGATATCTTAAGAGAACTCACCACTGCAGAAACATACTCCATGGCTAACATTTCCAGGTGGGTTAGAGGTATTTCTAAATTGCTCTGGATCACATTGACTTGGTGCCTTTGAAAGTAACGGAGTAAAACCTTCGAAATAGTTTGACAAAATTGGCAGTGCTTCAGTAAGAGGAGAACCAAATGGAAATGTCCCAGTGGAAAATGTACTGCTCAAACAGTTGTAATAGAGTGGATTATGACAGGACAATGCATATCATGTTTTTCTCATGTAAAAAGGCCAGATAGAAACATGTTCTGTGGTCTTTTGTTATGAACCAAGCTTTCACTGCATATTGACAGCTCTAATTTTGTTACAAGGACATAGTAGATTCATTACTCTCTTAGCATCCTAGTCTGAAAATAACCTGGGTATTTTTTTCAATATTATTTGAAGAAGGTTGTTTATGAATAAAAGATGTACTGGCTTTATGTGTTATACATTGTTTTGGCAAACATAGTTATGGTCCTCAGCTGAGATTTTGACACAGAAACATAGTAACTATATTTCTATTGTGTGCAGAAGTTATTCTATACAAGCAAATGTAATAAAAAGGTACTTTCTAGTCTATCAATTTATGACAGAAAATTTATCAAAGTTTTGTTATTGTATATTGTGTTTTGGCATGTAATTTTTAAGAAGTCTTTCTCTTGGTTGATCTTAATATCTTGAAAGGTGAGAGACTGACAGGTTATCTTATGATGTATAATATATCCTTTATGACTTGCTTTTTCGATAGCAAAATTGCCAATTCCTTTTTTTAACCTTCATATTTAAGGGGAAAACAAAATACCACATTTGTTTCAATTCTTCAACAGCCCAGGGAAGTAAACTAAATGATATCATGGTCTGGAATTGAATTTCTAGCACTAAAATGAAATTTTGTAGAAATTTAACATCTTCTGCTTCAGAGGCTAGACAAATTCCATTCTAGTATATAAAGTGCCTCATTTGTGTCTATAGATTTTTTTTTTTGGCAGGAGGAGGAAAGAAATATGAAGGTGACAGCAAAGGATAGATTTGGTTTGACTTTGTCCCCACATGACTGAAGTGATTCTCTAGGAAATTGTAGGGAAAATTGGGAAGGGGTTGATGGCCTCTGTATCTGAAGAGAAGCAAGCATGAGACAGATACATGGTTTTCATACTATTATTTGGTCTTGTTTAGTTTTTTGAATTATATTTTTCTTGTATACTATTGTATACTGGACTTCACTATTTTGTATACTAGTGTATATTGTATACTATTGTATACAATGTTGTATACACTATATTGTGTACTATTGTATAGTGGACTTCATTATTTTGTATACACTATTTTGTATGCTTCACTATATTGTATAGCGGACTTCACTATTCCCTTTGGTGGATATAGAAAAAGATGTACTCCACGAAAGCCTTCTTTTCACAATTTTTTTCTTTTAAAGAGAGAGTTATACATACATCACAAACAATCCCCCCTAACATACATATTGATGCAGACTAAATGCTATAAGAATGCTTATAATAGATGAATAACCTGCTTCATGAGTTCTTAATTCTAATCTCAGAGCTTCAGAGCCACTGATTTATAGCTGTTTCTAGTTTCCTTTGGTGGTCATTTTCTTCTCATCAATAAACATTTATATATGTATTTCTGGATTTAGACATTAATCTTCTTAATATGCCAAAGATTTAGCTTTAACTATACTGTCTATCAGACAGAAAAGTATCTAACGATACTTTTTTCCTCCATTTTGTGGCATACTTAGACCACTTTTCAGTTTCTGTTAGTTGTTTTTATATATTCAAATATTAATAGTTAAACCTCTATATCTTGTTTCACGATCTATATGAAGTATGTATCTTTTAATACATGTTTATTTTTATAGTCACAGTTGACTTGTTATCTAAGGTCAAAAGGGAAAGTCTGAAACCAACTTTACGTGGCAAGCTTCCCTGGGAGTGCCTTGTGTAACATAGCAGCCTTATCAGTGCAGTGATTTTCACATGGTGCTCTGTAGATCACTAGGAGTATCTTCAGGTGTTTCACTATCAGTGATCTTTCTCTTCTGCCATTCCGCAGATCATGTCTTTTTGTTTTTCTGTGTCCTATGTTTTGATTTTTATTTTAAAATGAGACTGGTTTCCAGGAGACATGGATTCTAGCCCAGCTCTTCTAACTTGCTCTGTACCTTGACTAGTCCTTTGGGCTCTCAACAGCAGCACCAAGCAACAAGAAGATGAGATTGTATTGGTCTGCGAAGGCTGCATTACAAAGTATCATAGACCGGGTGGCTTAAACCACAGAAATTTACTTTATCATAGATCTGAAGGCTAGAAGTTCAAAACCTAGGTTTCAGCAGGGTTGGATTTTTCTGAGGCATCTCTCAGCTTGTGGATGATAATCTATTTTTTTTTCTTTTTAAGAATTTTAAAACTTTATTTTTTAACATTGAATCCTTAAATGGCTCGACTCAAGTTTTTTCTTTTTTAAAATTTATTTCTTTTAATTGAAGGATAATCGCTTTACAGAATTTTGTTGTTTTCTATCAAACCTCAACATGAATCAGCCATATATATATATATATATATATATATCCCCTCCCTCTTAAACCTTTTCTTTTTTAGCTTTATATTTTATATTGGAGTATAGCTGATTCACAGCATTGTGATGGTTTCAGGTGGACGGCAAAGGGATTCAGCCATATGTATACATGTATTCATTCTCCCCCAACCTCCCTTCCCTCCCATCCAGGCTGCCTTATAACATTGAGCAAAGTACCCTATGCTATATAGTATTTCCTTGTTGGTTGTTGTTGCTTAGTTGCTAAGTCATGTCCAACTCTTTTGTGACCCCTTGGGTGATAATCTGCCAGGCTCCTCTCTCCAAGGGATTTTCCAGGCAAGAATACTGGAGTGAGCTGCCATTCCCTTCTTCAGGGAATCTTCCCAACCCAGGGATCAAATCTGTGTCTCCTGCACTCGAGACAGATTCTTTACCACTGAGCCACATGGGAAGCCCCTTGTTCGTTATCCATTTTAAATAAAGCAGTGGCTATGTTTATATTGTGTCCTCAGATGGTCTTTTCTCTGTCTGCCTCTGTTTTTTAATTATTTTTTTTAATAAGGACACCAGTCATTTTGGATTATATCCCACACTGTTGACCTCATTTTATCTTAATTATTTCTTTAAAAATCTTATATCCAAATACAGTCACATTCTGAGACTTTTAGCATATGAATTTGGTAGTTGGGGGGGCACAAATTAGCCAACAACAAGATTGATAATCTCCAATTCTGTTTGACTCTAAAATTAAATGAATATTGCTAACCAAGTAGCAGGGACTTGTTCACATTTAGTATTTATTATTTAATTTGTAGGTAAAGACAGTATGATGCAGAAAACAATCACTGGTCTTTTCACTGTGTTGTACACAATTGTACAATAGATATTTCTGCCTCTAAGTTTTTCCCTCTGATTTAGATGCTGGCTGGTAATCAAAAATTTTCATTCCTGGGTCACCACAAAGGGTTACATAAAATATTGGGTGTTAAAACAAACAAACAAACAAAAAAAGACCTGAACCAGGAACAGTTTAAAAAAAAAAACTCAGCGCAGGTTTATCCAATAGGAAAGTAAGTCTTGGAACAAACATCTGGGAGGGCAACTGGATCACAATTTCTTACTGTAAAATATAAGCAAGTGATTAAAAGCCAACTTGGTGGCTGAGTGGTAAAAAGAATCCACCTGCCAATGCAGAAGATACTGGTTCGGTCTCTGGACTGGGAAGTTTCCCTGGAGAAGGAAATGGCAATCCGCTGCAGTATTCTTACCTGGGAAATCCCATGGACAGAGGAGACTGGTGGGCTAGGGTCCATAGGGTTACAAAAGAGATGGACATGACTTAATGACTAAACATTAACAACAAAAGCTGATTTACCAAATCTAACTCTGCAGATCCAGAGTATGGTTCCAAATATTACTCTGCTCTAGTTGCAAGAAAGGTAAACACTAATATCCTCTACTCAGAATTAAAGAGCTTGTTATCTTTTGGGTATACCCTGACTACATAAGATAAAACCAGTTGTCTGTTTAATACATTTTTGGGGCATGGATCTTTTGCTATAACTGCATACCCAGTGTGAAGAGAGGTCAGGCATACACTGGATCTCTTTCCCCAGCATTTTATTTTCAATGTCTTTTGTATTTACCTTTAAAAAGCTTGTTTTTTCTTTAGTCTGACAAGTTTAAGGGGGGTACTTAGACCATTGTCATTTGATATAATTTTTAATATAATGTAGTTATATTTAAATCTACTGTTTTTCTATTTATTTTCTGTTTATCCCAATGGTTCTTCCATTCCCTGCTGCTGCTGCTGCTGCTGCTAAATAGCTTCAGTCGTGTCCGACTCTGTGCGACCCCATAGACGGCAGCCCACCAGGCTCCCCCGTCCCTGGGATTCTCTGGGCAAGAACACTGGTGTGGGTTGCCATTTCCTTCTCCAACGCATGAAAGTGAAGTCGCTCAGCCGGATGCGGCCTACCAGGCTCCTCTGTCCTTGGGATTTTCCAGGCAAGAGTACTGGAGTGGGGTACAATTGTCTTCTCCACTTCCGTTCCCTAGGGTTAGCCAAATAACCTATTGAATTTAGTATTCAATATTGAATATGGGGTAATGAAAATAGTTTTATCTTTTGGCTATACCCTTTCAAGTCTAACAGTATCATGATTATTTTAAATTAATATTATACTACTTGATGTCTAGTGTAGCCAACTTAAATAGTATCATTTCATTCATCCCCTCCCAATCTTTGTGCTGTTAGACTTTTTTTAGCTCTAGATTTGTTTACCTTGTAGGGTAATAGTCACAAGTCATAGAAAGTAGGGCTCAGATGTACCTTGGGAGGCCACCATTCAGCTCTATTCTACCTCTTCTCTATTTAAAACCCTCCAGTTTCTTCATCTATCACTCGGAGTTAAAGACAAAGTTCTAAAAATGGACTGCAAGTTCTTATACAAGACTCCCTGTCTTTGACCTCATATCTAATTTTCTTTTTTCACTCCAGGAACACTGTCATCCTTTAATTTTGAAGCATAGCAGTCATGTACTCCTGAGGGCAATAAACTTAATGGGACACTTTTGCTCCAAATTCCAAA